AGGGGGCCGTAGGGGGCGCTGTGCTGCAGGGAGGCGGGTGCAGGGGGCCGTAGGGGGCGCTGTGCTGCAGGGAGCAGGGCGGGGGGTCAGAACAGGCCCTAACCTCTCTCCCCCTACAGTAGCCCCTCGCCATGGCTTGCAGAGTCTCGGGAAAGTTGCCATTGCCCGGCGTATGCCACCCCCTGCGAACCTGCCAAGCTTAAAAGCAGAGAACAAAGGCAATGACCCCAACGTCTCACTAGTACCAAAAGACGGGACAGGATGGGCAAGCAAGCAGGAACAGTCAGACCCAAAGAGGTGAGGAGCCGTCCCGCCTCGGAGTGGGGGTGGGCCTGGCTCAGGGAACGGGGCCTTTCCCCTCTAGGGGGCGCCAGCTCCCATCAGGCCCCAGGTCTGAAGTCTGTGTGTCTCTCTCTCTCTCTCTCTCTCTCTGCCTGGTTCATTCCCTCCCTCTCAGTACCGATGCCTCGACAGCTCAGCCGCCGGAATCGCCGTCGCCGCCGGCTTCACAGACGTCTGCCTCAAACCCACCGAAACGACCCCCGACAGCACCCGAGGTGAAGACACTGGGGTGGGGGGTGTCTCTCTTGACAGAGATCAAGATCCTCGGGATGCCTTTAGGGGAACTCCCCAAACAGTGTCCGGGATGGAGAACAAGGAGAGTCCTGACTCCCAGCCCCACCCAGCCCACCGTTCTAACCACTAGACACCACTCCCCTCCCAGAGCCAGGGAGAGAACCCAGGAGTCCTGGCTCCCAGCCCCACCCAGCCCACTGTTCTAACCACTAGACACCACTCCCCTCCCAGAGCCAGGGAGAGAACCCAGGAGTTCTGGCTCCCAGCCCCCACTCCCCTCCCAGAGCCGGGAGAGAACCCAGGAGTCCTGGCTCCCAGCCCCACTGCTCTAACCCACCAGCCTCCACTCCCCTCCCAGAGCCGGGAGAGAACCCAGGAGTCCTGGCTCCCAGCCCCCTTTTCTAACCCACCAGCCCCCACTCCTCTCCCAGAGCCGGGGAGAGAACTCAGGATTTCTCTCTCTTGCAACCAGCCTGCGTCCATGTCACTGGCCCCTAGACCCCGCTGGCATTTCCTAGGGCCACAGGGGGCGCTAGTGCTGGAGGTTGGTGCTGCGGCCTGTAACCGCTCTCTGCCGAAGGAGCTTCCCAGCCTTGGCGGCAGGATCTGAGAGAGAATCAGCCAGTGGGAGCTGTTCAATGAGCAGCTGGGAACGTGGGGCTGGGGGTGGATCTTGGGAGGCTGGTAAGGGGGCTGCAGTCCCCAGAGTCAAACTAACCCCTCCCCCTCCTTTGTTCTGTCAGAATCCCCCTACAGTAGCAAGCGGGGTAAAGTCTTGGGCACAGGCCAGCGTTACCCATGGAGCGCAAGGAGATGGTGAGTTCGTTTACCAATCCCCTGGAGTGGGGCTTGGGGGCAGGGAGCTGGGGCTTCTTAGGGGGATACTCTAATGTCAAACACAGCGTTAACCCGGGGAACTCTCTGCCACTTGATGTCATGGAGTCAAAGAGCCTAGCAGGCTCAGACACTTCAATGGCTGATGGGAGCTCTCAGGCTCAGTTAGAGGGGATGAGACGTGAGGGCTCGAATCCCAACCACCAACTGTCCAGGGCATGAGCCAGCTGTTGAGCCAGTGATCAGGAAGGACACGCCCACCCCCATTGGGCACCACCCACGGGCTGGGTTCTGAAGCAGCTGGCCCTGACCTCTCAGAGACAGGCTAGGTGGGCCCCAGTCTCATTCTGCCAGGCAGTTCCCTGGCTTGGTCCTCCAGGGTCATAGAAATGAAAGACATTGGCCCTCAGGGGTTGGCGAGTTGGCACGTCACAGCCTCTTGCGTCTAGCTACAAAGAGGTGGAGGCTGATCGGTTCACCAGGGTCATAGACGTAGCAATTCTCACCCCTTTGGTCCTGAAGAGTCATAGAGCTGGAAGATAATTGGTCCTCCGGGGTCATAGAGGGGACAACTCTTTCTGTTCCATGATCCTCCGGGGTCATAGAGGTGGGCTAGTCAGTCAGCCTCCCTCTCTCCGCAGGTGGAAAGGGATCAAGCCTACTGTCGCGATTCTCTCGCGAGGAATTTCCGACCCTGCAGGCGGCTGGAGACCAGGACAAAGCTGGCAAAGAAAAGGACACTACCGATGCGTCGTATGGGCCCGGACCAAACCTCCGCCCCCAGAGTGAGCCCCGCCCCTCCCAGGCAGGGGTGTCCCAGGGCGGCACTGGGGGCCTGTGACATCAAAGACCCCAAAGTGCTGGGCCCCCTAACTGAGCCTTGAACCCGGCTATGCCAGCCAAACCTTGGCCAGCCCCTGCCTGCCCCAGGGTGTGTCCCCTCGGTCCCCCCCGCGCATGGCAACCGGACTGGGGAGACCCCTTCTCTGCGGGCCACGACCTCGTTCTGTTCAGCTGCTCCCCCATTTCTGCGTCCCACCCCAGAGGGGCTGCATCTCTGTGCTGGGCCAGGGGTCCCCGGATAACCAGCCCCCGCGCCCCACCCCAGAGGGGCCGGGGGTCCCTGGATAACCAGCCCCCCGGCGGCGCGTTGCCTTACCCCATCCCCCTTTCCTTTGCAGATGCGACGAGCTGGCGGGATGGAGGCGGGCGGGGCACTGACGGGGAGGTGCCCGAGCAGCACCCCGGAGCCCCCGACGGGCGGGCCGGGGTGGGCATGCAGCCCTCCGCCCCGCCCCACTTCCCTCCCTACCGGGGCATGATGCCACCATTCGTGAGTGTCGGGGGGGGTTGCTCTGTGGGGAGGGGCAGGGGGGTTTGATCCGTGGGGAGGAGCAGGGGGGGGGGGGGGGGGGTCCCGGGGGGGGGGGGGGGGGGGGGAAGAGGTGGGGGGCGGACACCTATCCAGGGAGTGATCCATCTCCGTGACTGAAGGTGGCTCAGCAGATCGGGGTTCATGGGGGGACGGGTGGGGGCTGAACTCTTCCCCCCAGCATTGGGGGGCCCCCTTAACAGCCCGTCTCTCCACAGATGTACCCCCCGTACCTCCCGTTCCCGCCTCCGTATGGGCCGCAGGGACCTTACCGCTACCCCACCCCGGACGCACAGAGGTGAGTTGAGGGGGGCTGTCAGGATGCCTGGGTTCTCTTCCCAGCTCTGGGGGTGAGTGGGGTCTACTGGTTGCAGCCAGTTGCCAGATCTCCTGGGTTCTGTCCCTGGATCGGAGGAAGAGGGGGGAGGAGGGAGTGCGGTCCAGTGGGTTGGAGCAGGGGGGTGGGGCTGGGAGCCCGGACTCCTGGGTTCTGTCCCTAGCCCCTCCATGGTTCTCCCTCCCCCCAGGTTCCCGCGGCTGGCTGGGCCCCGCCCCTCGCAGCCCCCCCAGCGCGCGGCGGAGCCGGTGAGCCGCCCGCCCGTGCTCCGGCAGGACGATCTGAAGGAGTTCGACGAACTGGACCAGGAGAACGACGAAGGCTGGGCAGGTAGCGCCCCCCGCTGGGGATCCGGGGGGTGGGGGGAGCTCCTTTCCTCCGCTGCCCCCCAGCCTCGACACACAGCCCCGGGGCCCCCCCGCGTCCGGCTGTGGGGCAGGCTCTGACGCCAGTTGTCTCTGTCTGGCCAGGCGCGCACGAGGAGGTGGATTACACCGAGAAGCTGAAATTCAGCGACGAAGAGGACGGCAAAGAGTCTGACGAGGAAGGGGCCGAGAAACAGTAAGAGGGACCCCGGCCCCATCCCGACCCCTCCCACCTCAGACTTACTGGCCCATCCAGGCCCCCGGAACCGGCCCATCGTGCCCCACATCCCTGCCCCCCCCAACTCCAACTCAGCCCCCTGGATCAGATCCACCAGCTTGCCCAGCCCCACAACCCTGGATCCAGTCCCCCAGCTCAGTCCCGCTGAGCCGTCCGCCCCACCCCCTGGTTCAGTCCCGCATCAGACCCCCGGGCTTGCCCCGGCCCCACCCACCCCGATCCGAGCCGTGGCCCATCTCACTGCGTTTGTTGCTGATCTCTGCCCTCTGCCCCCCAGCCAGGACAGCGAGGGGCCGGGCCCCGAGGGCAAGAAGGCCAGCAGCCCCAAGGAGGAGCTGCCCCCTGTCAAGGCGGCCTGGGCCGAGGGCTCCCGCCCCCCGGAGGGGGCCAAGGAACCGCCCGCCGCCCCCGCACCTCGCCCCCCGCCACCGCCACCCCCACCCCCCAACCGGGGCAACTGGGGGCAGCCCAACGACTTCCCAG